CAATTTTCTGCACATTATAAATATTTTGAAAATATTCACTTATTTCTTTTTAAAACAAAACTCAATAGCTCGTCCCCATTGATTATTATATTAAATTCAAGAAAATAGACAAAGCCATACAATTTTAATTTATACTACAAAGGTTATTTTATGTAAGTATCTTTTTTTTATAATAAATTAATTCCAATCATCTTATAGAATTGTTCTTTTTGTAAACCTCTTATACATTTGTTTTATTTTTAAACCTCATTTACAACACTTTCAATAATTCTGAATGAATTAAGAGTCGATTTCATATTCCATGGCAAAACTAGTGAAAGGTTAACGAGAAAAAAATTTTATTGCTTTTATACTCTCTATACTTTGCAATTTTTTAACGTTAAGAAACAACAACACATTTTTTATATTTTTACATTTAATAAAAATATTTTCTTACCCAAGCCCAATGATGTTAACATTTTCTAACGGCATGTTCTCTGATGATACGATAAACAATTATTAATATAGCATTCAAGAATATTTTATCGGATGATTAATTAAAACTAAAATCAAAAATGTGTTGAAGGAACTCTTATTGAATTTTGTACCTTAGATTTACCACTAAGATAAATGATAAACATTATGGTTTGTTCATTAGAACATTTCAGTATTAATAGGTTCTTACGTTTTTTTACTCACAAGGTCTTTCAAGCTATGCGTAAAAAATTAAAATAATTTAGATGGTACAAAAAAAAATGTATCTAAAACGTATTCATATTGTACCGTCAATACTAGTTTAATAAACATTTAATAATCAAAGAAAAAGGTCAATTATTTTTCTTAAGCATACGATTTCACATTATACTTAATTTTTATAAATCTTTCGTTTAAACATAACGACAAACTGAAAAATTTTCTAGCATAATAAAATGGAGCTTTTTAAACTTAGGTCCGATCAAAACACACCTAACGCTTCTACCAGCAGCAATTCAGTAAGCCGAGCTGTTTCTCGGCAGCAGAGTCCATCGGACGATTTACTTGAGGAAAGCAGGTTGCAGCAGCAGCACCAGCCACGGAGACAAAGTATCTCGTTGAATGCCGTTATAAATCATCGGAGGGCTTTGCTCGGGTGAGGGCAGTCAAATTTTTTTTCCCTCCGATGGTATTCGGTTTGTTTTCCTAACAACAAAAGAGTCTTTTTTGGCACGTATCTGTAAATAATGATTAATTTTTAAGTAGATGATGTATAATCTTCGTGCAATATTTTTTAAGCAGAATTTGCATGCCAGGTCATTAGGGTACAAATTTTAATTTTTATTAGATTACTATAAAATATCGAATGAGATTAACGTTTGATAACTTCAAAACGTATTTTCCAGCCAACGACCTCTTTTGATGTGAAATATCTTATAGTGGGCAGTGAACAGCCACGTGAGGAGAAATATGCAACGAAAAGTCTGGTCCGTTCCTCCGTATCCGTTCATCCCACCACTGGGTGGGACCTCGTTCTGTCTCTCTATACATATTGACGCCCCGGGCGAAGACTATGCCCTGCTTCGAAGCGTGGACGAAGACTATGCCTTTTTCCGCAGTCCGGACTAAAACTATGCCCTTTTGTCTGTTCTAGACGAAAACTATGCCCTTTTGGAGTCCCGGACGAAGACTATGCCCTTTTGGAGTCCCGGACGAAGACTATGCCCTTTTTTTCTAGTCCGCGTGAAGACTATTACATTTTTTCCGAGTCTGGACGAAGATATTGATTTTTTCTGGAGCCCGAATGTAGTACAATTCGTTTAAGCTCACCTTACATTTGTGTTTGTAATTAGATACATAGTCAAATATACTTATATAGTGGTTGTTGTTTACATTTATATAAATAATTGTGAATAATAATACACCATTATAAAATAATGATACAAACTTAGGAGATTGTGTATAATAAATCATAAAGTTCAACAAAAAAATATTAAATTTGTCAAAAAATATTGTGTTGTTAAGTTTATATTTTGCATTTGTAACGAAATGTGGTGTATTACACAGCTCTACAAAAAAATAAAAAATCTGTTTACATGGTGCTGACCTTACTATATGTAATCGGTCATACTAAAAGCGAATCTTAATTCCGTTTTACTCTGTCACGTAAGGTTTTTTTTATAACCTTGAAATAAAGGCCAAAAATAAGATTTACTCTAAAATACTTCAAAAAATGTTTTTTAAATACTTGAAGAAACCAGACAGTCTCTTGGTACGTTTTTTTGATCGCTGAATTCGAATCTGATCACTATTATACCCTTTATTATAAGGATTACTTAATAACCTCAAAATGAAGGCCAAAGACCACTTGAAACTTTAAATTTTTTAACATGTTATACAGTAAATGTTGTTTCGTAACCTCTATTTTGAAGTTATGAAGAAACAATCCTTATTTTAAAGGGTAAAAAGACATCAGATTCGGACTCAGCGACCAAAAAACTTGTAGAAGAGGTTATCTGGTTTCTTGAAACATTTAAAATTATTTTTTAAGTATTTTAGAGTAAATTTTGTTTTTGGCCTTTATTAAAATATCATGAAAAAAAATTTATGTTATGGGTAAAACTGATTTCAAATTCGGATTCAGCACGTCCGAATAAATTAAACTTTTTATTTTGGTTTTGGTGGAGCTATATAATATACTTTTTCTTATGATTAAATTGATAACTGTAGTGTGTAAACTAATGACGGCAGGGAACAACATCAGATTCAGAGAATCCGATTTTTTTAATAAAAA